TAATAGGAGCAATGTTAGATGCGAATTTGCGTAAACATGGGCCCGTATGCAGGGAGCAGGGCGCTCTGTCGAAGAGTTTATTTTCCCACAAAATGATTGCATTTGAATGTATATAAAAAGTCGAATCGTGTTTCCTTAACTGAGTGACTCCAATCTGACCTTTTATGTCCTACTAGCCTCCAGTCTACTGCGACCGCCACGACTGGAATAGGCATTGAATTGAGACTCGTCGTCGCTGGAGGCGCACTCCAATTTTCTTATCAGACGGTCGTTCTCTTTGTGTGCCACAAACACATAAACAGAACCGTTGGGATCCAATAGTGTGCTGCCTTCCGGAAGTTTTGAAATGCGCTGAAAGTCGAAATTCCAATCACCTTCACTTAGGTTAACAGACTTGTCTCGATCTATTGACCTTGCCCGGCCATAATTCTCTGGTACATACTGTACTACGAAACTATTTTTTTCCTCATCCTTTTTGTTTCCTGAGGAATACTTTCGAGCTCCTTTGGAATCCTTATTTTTTGATAAATTTTGATCTAAATCTCCAACCAGTTTTTTGGATGAAAACGCTCGAAGAGTAGACCTGAGTTTAGACACGTAAATAGTCTGATCGTCTTCATTCAGATTATTCATGGAAGCTGCTCGTGTAATGATTGGCGATTTCGGGACAGCCGCTTGCTGTCTTACAAAGGAGGTTTTTTCAATCATTTCCGGGATTTCCTCTGGCTTGCGATAAAATATGCCTCCATCTACAATCTTGGGTTTTTCTTTCTCCTTCTTCGAAACTGGTCGTTCGCGTTCAGTACCGCCTTCAAGCTCAAATACTCGGGGTCTGGTAAGAGTGTTTCTGTTGTCCTCCGAAGTAGAATACATGGCTGGTATGAAGTTATGCTTTGACCCCGACGACCTGGCAGGTAGATAGGCATCAGAAGATTGAACTTTATCCAATAAAGGTGAATAGAAGCGATGCCGTGCCGTCGGCAACCCATCATCATCATACTGAGCTTTTTGAAAACGCTCCATAGCCTTCTTCATGTTATTGGAGTCCTTGGTTTGGCTTCTAGGAGAATACTTGTCATACATGAATTCCTGCTCGGTTGAATTGGAGCTAATGCCGGCTAGAGTGCTTGATTTTTGTGTTGTCAGCTCTCTGGCCATCTGGCCTTCTGTCATTTCATACTTGGCCATTTGAGGCGCATCTTTATTCCGTACACTGCGTTCTGGAACAATTTTCGGAGATTCCTTCGAGCCAACAGTTTCCCGCAACACTGGACTTCCTCCTGTATCATCGATGATCGACCGACGGACACTGTTCGAGATAGGTCTTTCGAATGGGTAATCGTGCCTCTTGCTACCCGGTGATGCAGAAGAGCTGGCGGTGTTGTGGGGTGGCGGAGTTGACTCGTGTGTAATTCGTACTTCGGGGATCTCATTGCCAACCTCGTAGCTGCCAGGAGCCAAAGGGCTTCTGTTTTGTTCGGCTATCGTCGGTGTAGAAATCCTTGATTCTCTCATTTCATTTTGGTGCGGCGAAACAAACGTTGGGTCGTAGATTCCAGGCGCTCGGCTTTCTTCTGATGCCAGAATGGCAGATCCACGTTGGCTGCCAGTCTGATCACTGAGTGGGGCAAATCCAGCTTCGGAGGTTCGTAGACTGTTGTTTAGGGAAGTAAGATTGATGCGCTCACCGTTGTCTTTGGCGTTCAAAATGAGTGTCTTCAGAGTCTCCACCTTTTCACTGCTGCTCATCACCAGCATCTCGTAGCTTGGAGAACTGTCCTTCTCGGTGGTCACCATGCATAGTATCTGAGGGTGAGTTGAAAATAAGTGAAGCAGCTTGATGGATTCGTAGGAGAACCGGGTTTTGGGGGCTTTTCTACCGAGAAGGTTAGAAGTCTTCCGCGTCATTTTGATTTCCTCTGACAACGCCTTCAATAAGTATATGCCGAGTGTGTTTTTCTTGGAGTTGTCTTCTATTATTTTGTTAGCTATTTCACTGGTAAACTCCTCTGCATAAGCCAGTCGGCCGAAGGCCTTAAACTCCACAAGATCCTCCATAAAGGCACGTGCTTGTTTTGACTTTTTTGAATCCATTTATGTGGTCTTGTTAGTTGGTTGTCGGGAGCCTGATGAGCACAAATGAGTGCGTCTCTTCTCGCCAGTTCCGACGGCAAATTCGAAAGATGAATCCCGCTTCACGAAAGCGACAAGTATAAGATTTAAAGACAAAGCCTGTACAGCCAATCCCAACCTCTTCTAAGCACAATTGTCCTCCGTTTTCTGCTCTCTAGTTAGCACATTCCGGAACCTGTAGGGTTCTTCGATTCACCGTGGCGGAGAACAGAGAATGTGTTGGCGACCAATGCACCTGTAGACGCAGGTATCGAGGCTCTTACGATCAATGCTGTCAACAGCCAAGTGATGTAGCCCTGTACCGTCTTCTCCCCTTAGGCCTATTACGGCTTAATTTAGACGAAAAGACAATTTATTGAAGTGAAAAGTTCTTGCCATAATGCACAATAAGCAAATTGAGAACGTACCTTTCGTTGTGGCATCAATTCACTCTCTCATCACTCTTCTCTTAGATGCCTACTTCGTAACGAACTTTCCTACTAAGCTCATCTAGAGATCACATACACTAATGGAATCAATATTCTACTTTGTCAAGGTAATACTGCAGGTCCAAAGTACTAGCCACACAGAGCTGGAGAAAGGAGCGCAGATGCTGCTCTATTTGATGAGCACCAAAGAGGTTTTGCTTGTAAGTGACCCTATAATTTTGCTGACTTGCTGACTATTGGCTCTCTATCGTTCAGGCTAACGACAATGCGCCAAATGATAAGGCAGATTCTGAGGAGGCGAGGATCGTAAAAGTTTGCCTGTAGGACGACTCGTGTGTGAAGTCTACGGGGTTAATTGCCAACTTTTTCACATTATTTGATGGTAAATCTTTCATTCATATTTCCCCCTATCGGTGAAATAAGGCTTGAACAAAGCGACAATTAATTAGAGCTGTTATCGTATGTAAACTTTAGAAATATAATAAATTAGAGTGTAGTAACGATAAGGCGCCTCATTTTAGTCGGAAATCTACCTTAAGGGGTACATATGATGTACGAAAGTGATGCCTTAGCCTGACTGGTATTCATCACAAAAATATATTATTTGGCTCTGTACTGAACCTATCCCCAAATCGTGTTAGCTACTTAAGTGCAATTTGTCTTGCCTGCTTCCAAGTCTCCACAGGAAGTCGAGAATTAATAGATCTCCCGAACTCCAGGTGCATTATCTTGCATACTTCTTTGCTGTGTAGGTCTATTTGTAAATCAAGTATGGGAAGGCGGGGAGCAGCATATTGACTATTTAGAGTTCAAATTTGATCTGCTCTGCCATGTTGCCTTCAGCCGATAATTTTGATTATTAATTATTATTATTAATTAATTCTATTGCTACTTGATTTGGCACAGCCTTTTATGACAACTGCACTAGAACTGAAGATGGCCTAAAGCTTGACGTGACTAGATGCTGCAGCATTACTTTTTAACTACATGAAATTACAGTGAGCAATAAAGCATGCAAATAATTCCATCTTGTATCGAGATTCCAAATAAACCCAATTTTTCTTCTTATCTTCATAATCTGTCAAGTGTTTTAGTTTACATTGTACGCTTGTCTTGGAGCCAAGAATTAAGGTGTCGCGATTTAATTACATTTTTAAACTATATATGCGTAGATTGTTCAAATATAACTTTGATTCATTTAATTTGCTTCTTTTAATGAGTATATTTCGCTATAATTCAAAAAATGTTTAATTTGGAGTAAGACATGATTTCATTTCACCCTTTTATCACTTATGCTATATTTTTTCTCGAACTCGTTTAGTTGAAAATTGAAAAGTTAATTAACTTTTTATTCGTCTTCCCTCGTAGATCACGTTATCTCTTATGCTTTTTAGAGTTATTTTACTTATTTACGGATTCATTCTTCCATATTTCATTCCTATGCTGAGACAATAAAAGTGATTAATAGCATTTTGGGATTTAATGAAATACAAGTCGTTTTTTCAAAGTAATACAACACATTTCAGTCAGTAAGTTAACGTGAATTTCGTCTTGCTAATTCAGGTTTATGTTTCAATTAAGCTAAGAATGATCTCCATTTTGCCAACCATATTTGCCTTTGATTTTTACAAGTCCAAGAAGCCTCATCTACTTCTAGCTGAGCTGTTTAAGCGGCATTGCTCTACATACCTGTGAATCTATGGTAACTTCCTTCAGTCATAGCAACTTCCGACTTCATGAACTTTCGTCACGTAAAAAATCGGTCCTAATAGTTCGAGTTTCGTCGTGTTAAATTAAGCACCTTCTTCTTCGGGGTTAAATATTAACTACATGCTATGGAACATATGGTTTCAGTATGATGACATGCTTGGCGGTAAAAAATGAATATAAATCCGTTCAATTCTCCTCTTTTAATTTCTTTTGTAAATGTCATTCTCTGTTCAACTAATTGCTTTCATTAGCCTTACAATAGGTACATAGTTACAAATAATTGGCATACTTAGATTTTTTTATCAATTGAAATATTCTCAATCTTAAGCCCATAAACACACCGAATTACTCAATACTATGATTGCATCTTCGAATACAAGGCATTTAAGAGGATTATGAGTGAGTAGTAAATATGTGAACTGTATACAGTAGAGAAATGGAATTACATTGCTGCTTACAAGCGTGTGCTAACCAGAGCAATAAAACACTTATGAAGTTTGAAGGAATATGTGTGCGACTATGAAGCCGGTGTTGTCGAACCAGTATCCTCTGGAATGTTTGCTGTCTGTGTAAACGAGTGCCAAAAATGAATACCATTAAGTTAAAAAGGCTTAAATATTTTTATGTAAACCTCATCTCGAATAGCGGGTAATAAACGGTATTTTTCTTAAGGTAAGAGGTTTTTATAGTTTATAGATTTATGCATCGCTTAAGTGGAGTAGTTGTAAAATATGTCCCTCTCCGGTAGTATCTTAGAGAACCAGAGTAATTGAAGAATTTTGGAAAAGCCGCATGTGATAAATGAAGCACACCCTATCAAATTAATCACTATTGTTATTCCTTCAGAAGCGCAACTCTATCTAACCTCATTCGCCTTTTTATGTGAGTCAAAGAAATCTTAGTCTTTATGATTTCTTAGGGCTTCTTTAATGTTCTTCAATATGATAAACAGTGATTTTGAATCTCAACTTAATTAATAAGAAAATCTTTCTTAGTTTCCTGGTTAAATGAAGACATAGCTGTATAATTTTTTTACCGTTAACTCTCCCATTTTCATTTTTAAAACATTTCAAAACAAGAAGAAACGTTTCGCCAATCTATAGACTGCTAAAATATATTTTATTAAACTGATCTACATCTCTACTTTTGCATCACCTCACCATAAATTCTAATGCAACTTTCCCTCAATAAAGGTTAGTATCTGTATAGAATATTCCCAACATAAATTTTTATACTACTTTCGTTAAGTCAGCATCAGCAAAACCTTCAGCCAGCATAAAATACAGCTTTTATTGACATAAGATTTAAATCGCAATGTCCTTCTTCCCCCTGCTCATTTCAAAACAAATGGGGGACAAAATAGAAAGGTGTACAGGCCTGATAATTTCCTATTACAGTAAAGAAATGGATGAAAATAGAAATATTGGGTCTAAATTACGCAAAAGGAAACCAAACTTCGGAAAAATAATGTCTTTGCAATATTTTCGGCATAACATGTTCCACAAGTAAGTTTCACAAACTAATTTAATCACTGGACAGGGCATCGTTCAGAAGACGGCGACTCATTTTGTTTCCCGCCTGTTTTATAGTTGATATGATCTCTGTCAAAGCTAGTCAGAATCAACGGATCGTTTCTAAAAATCATTATGGCTACTTTGGCAGAAGGTACAGGACTAAGTATGTTCTACAATTTCACTCTAGCAATTTGCCAAAATGCTATCATTCCAACTCGCTATAGCCCTGAGAAGTTATGTTAGAGCTAAAGACCATATAACTTTAATTTTCATATCTACAGTCTAAGTAGAACTGAGCCCAAAAAGTCTTCAAGACCATCAAGCTTAATGGTCTTGCTGCTTTTCTTAATACTTCTTTGAGACCCACCCGACTTCTTGTGCCAGCGAGTAATTTACATTGTGGCTGACAGCAATCATATCTGAAGCTGGGCCCTTGTGCGGTTTCTGGAAATAGCTGTTACTGGTCAGACAGCAAGACATTTTTACTGTATGCGCATGGATAAAAAAGAAACATTATATACTTTGAGTCTTCGCCTAAGACAGCAGCACGCCTTCAACTCCCCCGGAAATGGACTGCTCTGGATAATCTAAATGTGACTGCAAAAGATAGGGCGGCATACTGATTTCACTGATTTGCAATCACCACTAATCGTGCTTCATACTCCTCCTTAATCATCTCATATTAGGTCAGTATATTCCTCGATAGGCCATAACATCTGCTTTTCACCGCACTCTTTTTCAAGACGATTCTACTAAAATTAGAAGTTAGTGCAATGTCTATTCAAGTTTCATAGTTTACAAGTAGTATGATTAAAAGAATGAAAACTGAGATATTACAAGGAAAATTAATTTGAATAATATATGTGCACCGAGATTATGCAAACCAAGTAAACAATAACAATGTTTGAGGATTTGGGCACAAAGGAGTATGAAATAGGAAAGGCATAGTATGAGACCAAGGGGACCTGAACTCCATTCGAGAGAGGCGTTTCATGATTTGTTTGGCTGACATATGCTTGTCCTACATGAATGTTAGTGGGTCGAAGAGGGCATGTGGTCACAAATTTTGTCAATGTAAATAAACTTGCGTATGATACAGTAGTCCTGGGTCTTGTTAAAGCTTCGTGAATGTGTGCTTGCGTGTGTATGCAAAAACCCCGAGTTGGTTGACAATTTGAGGTTCAGAAACAAGCTCCAGCTTATTTTAATCTTCTCATTTACTCAGTGGCTCTTCCTGTTTCTTTTCCTTTTCCTTCTCTCTCTCTCTCTCTCATTTTATTTGGAAGCCAGAGGTAGTTCTTACTTAGTT